GTGTTTTGTTTTTCTGTCATACATCTTCAGTTTGGTCCATAATTTAAGGATGAATCGTCATAGAAACGATCAACGCTTTCAAATCATTGAACTTCATACCGAAAATGCGTGCTTTGTTAAGAAAGTTCATTGCGCGTTTCTTCAATTTTGTGGCTGTATAATCGATCCATTGAAGTGGCTATTATTTATAGTGGCTAGATATATATCGATTTCAATTTCCTTTACGACCATAGAATGTGGCGAACGGAGCGCCCTATATTGATACCGTAACTGGAAATTTCATAAATGTAGAGTTTAAATGTGTAGTTTAATGTCCTGGATTTCGTCTCATAACTTTGGAACTACTGGAGGTATTGTAATTAAATTGATGTCGTTTTAAAGGTAGGAAGTCTGACTAGTTCGTGATCTATGCAAAATTTAAAAAATGTGAAATGTTTTATTTGAAATATTATGTAGGAGGATACATTTGTATGTTATTGCCTTACAAAAGTTTTCAAAATACAATTTGCCGATTCTATGTCAAAGACCAATATTCATCCTTTTATTTGTGTCATTCCTTTCAAGAGATGGCGTTCATTTAGGGTCTTGTATGGTGATGGGCAACGTCTTACGTCTTACAGACACCAATAGATGGCGCGGACGACGGGTTTATAAATATTGCATACCTTATTTAATTTTGCTATAATTTTTTTCGTATTGCAGAAAAAGTGGTGTCATGTGGAAGGTATAATCGTATAATTTCTCGTGAAAAGGAGGGAACCGATATTCCCCATCTTCGAACTTGATTTAAGTTATGAAGAAATATTACAGTATGTGATTGGTTAATCCATTCGAAAGCTATCTCGCCCACCAGTCAGACAGACGGACATTTGTAAAGCCACTCCAAATTGTGTGAATCGGATTTGGTCCAAAGAAACATGGAGTCTAAAATCAAAATTTCGTTGAGGCAGTATATATATATTATATATAAATATAATACCAATAAATAAAATGTATAGGTAAACAGTTATGTAGAAAGATATGTTTGTTTTTCACAATAAAATTTGACGATTTTTAACTATGACCAATATTTAGCCTTTAATATAATACCTTGGCTATGACTATATAGTAACCTGATAAAAAAAATACAGGATGTAGAAAATAATTGTAAAGAAAAAAATATTTTGCTGTCCCTCAAAATATATAGTGCTGATGTAGATGTCTTGTCGGGTTCTATAAAATGCTGCTCATGATCAGACAATACCCTACAGTAAAGCCCTCTTCTGGGCGGAATGAATTTAATTTATAGCTTCATACTTACCTTCCCGCAATCAACCACAAAAATAAAAAAATAAAAACATTTTTATATTTTCATAATTTCATTTAGGAAATGTAATATTATTTTATTACTTTCAGTCATTGAAGACTTAAAAACAAATATTTGTTTCTACAAAAAATACACATAAAAAATAAATTTGAACATAAAAAATATCAATGGAAAACATGTATTACTTTGGAAAACTATTACAAAAGAAATAATTAAAAATAAAAATATTAGTAGAGTATACACCGTTTTTTTTGATTTTATAAAATTAAAAAAAAAATAAATAAATAAAACTAAATCTTAATAACAATAAAATTATAAAAATAAATTCTCTAATAACAATTTATATAATACAATTTATTTCATTATTATTATTTTTTTTTAATTTATAGAAAACTTTAAACACATATCCAACATTTTTTTCAGTCATTAGCAAAGTGCCCGCTACTTCGTATGCGGAAAGGGAATGCAAAAAATTATATTTCATATGGAAATCGTGAATACTGTATAATTTGTTGTACTACAGTTCTGAATTCCACCTCTATCCCTATATCTAATATCAAGTTTATTACCATTTAGTACTCTTCATACACATAAAAACTATTTTCCGAAATCTCTTTCTAATTTTCATTACAAAGAAATAGGTCAGAATTCCAATCATATATATTTGTGCAAATTCGTATTTGGCACATTTCGAACACATAATTACACATTTTCAACACTACCTCCATACCATCACCACCACTAAGTTTAATACCAGTTAGTACCAAAAACCCTTTGGCACTTCTTTCTAACTCTCCGTCAGTGACCCACATTTTAAATTTTAGTTTTCCAGCTCTCCGTTACCTATGTCCAAATTGTTCCAAATTTAGTGAATTTTCTATTCTATTTACTATTTGTACACATAAGTTCGAGTTTCCAAAGTTGTTTCCATAGCTCAATACTACACTTCAACAATAATTTAAATTACAAATCTCAGGATTCAACCAAATCCAAATTATTCCAAATTTTGTATCATTTATTTATATCATTTAGTAATAACAGTAATCTTATTTTCATCAAAGTCCAACATGTACCACATTTAGTACTTTTCGTACCAAAATTATATCAGATTTGATACCGTTCTGTACTTTTTGTACCCATATTCCAAACTCCATACCTACTTTCAAATATTAATCGTATGTCCAAATTTAAGAATTTCAGCTCTGCCTGTTCACCAAATTGTATCAGATTTGGTACCATTCTGCACTTTTCCTACACTCCCACGGTAACTTAAGTTGGAACTTTCAGGATTCGAGTTCTACCCGCTCACCAAAGCCAAAATTTTTTACTTTTCGTACCCATAAGTACGAATTTCCAAAACTACTTCAGTCATTCACTTTAATAATAACCTTATGTCCACATTTAATGATTCCAGCTCTATTCGTTCACCAACATCCAAACTGTACCAAATTTAGTACCATTTATTACTTTTCGTAGATGTAAGCACAAGTTTCTAAAACTCAAAAAAAAAAAAATCAATTCCACACTGCAATAGTAATTTTAATCATACATTTCAGGATCCCAGCCCTATCCGTTCACATAGATCCAAATTGTACCATATTTAGTACCATTTAGTACTTATCGTACTTATGAGTTCGAATTTCCAACACTATCTCAATCCTCTAACAGTAATTTTATTTTCAAATATAAATTTTCCATCTCCATCATTTCATTCAAATCTAAATTGTACCATTTAGTGTACATAATTATGCATTTTTGAAATTACCTCCATGTTTCATCATACAATCCAACCTTAATTTTAACTCCAAATTTTTGGATTTTCGCTCACACAAAATGAATTGTATTATTTAGTGCTAGTGAAAATACTATCTTAATTCTGTAATTGCATTCAAAATTTAAGTTTTCCATCTCTATACTTTAACAAAAATCTAAATTGTACCAAATTTTGTACCATTTAGTACACATACTGACGAAATTTCAAAACTGCCGATATATCTCAATCCTGCCCTGCAACTGTAATATTAATTCAAAATTTCAGAATCTTAGCCCTATCCGTTCACACAAAAGCAATTTGTAAACAGGTACCGAATTTATTATTTTTTGTTTCTATATTTAAGAATTTCCTACACTCCAACAATAATTTTAATTCCAAAATTCTGGAGTTCAGCTCTATACGTTCACACATAATCAAGTTGTACCAAATATAGTACCGTTTAGTACACATAAGTACTATGCTTCCATATTTCAATTGTATATTCCAACAGCAACCATTATTCCAAATTTTAGGTATCCAGTTCTTTAAAAAATTGTTCCAAATCTAGTACCGTTTTGTACTTTTCGTGCACAAAATTCCGAATTTCCTAAGATGTCTCTATAGCTCAATCTTCAATAGTAACCATAATTCCAAATTTCACGTTTTGAGCTCTATCATTTCAAGCAAAATCCAAATATTACTAAATTTAGTACCATATAGTACCTTTCGTACCAATAAGTACAAATTTCCTAGACTACCTCTATTCCACATTCCAACAGTCATTTTAATTCCCAATTTGAAGACTTCTATCTGTTCACATAAATTCAACTTGCACCAAATTTAGTACCATTTAGTAACTTTCGTACACATAAGTACGATTTTATAAAGCTACCTTAATCCTGTATTCCAATTCGTCTTTTCAGGATTCCATCTATATAATTTAGTAAATTTTAGTACTTTTCGTACACTTATAGGTCGAATCTCCAAAAACCCTTTTGCACATCTTTCTAACATTCCATCAGTGACCCCACATTCCAAATTTCAGAATTCTAGCTCTTCCCTCTTCGCTCTTTTTAATAAATATACACCTTGGAATTTTGGACAATTTTTTTTTATATCTACACCTTGGACTTGGCTACAAAAAATATTTGTAATAAATCTACGCCTTGGACTTGCCAACATTTTTTTTTTAATCTACGCCTTGGACTTACCAACATTTTTTTAAATCTACGCCTTGGACTTGCCAACATTTTTTTAAATCTACGCCTTGGACTTGCCAACATTTTTTTTTTAAATCTACGCCTTAGACTTGGCTACAAAAAAATATTTGTAATAAATCTACGCCTTGGACTTGCCTACAAAAAATATTTTTAATAAATCAACCCCTATTTTCTAGAAGATGGAAATTCCTTATGGGAGCAGTGAATTGGGTCTTCAGGAGAAGACAGAAGTCCTTATGGTCTGTAATAAATATAAATGGCTTTTTATTTGTTTTTTCTTTTCTCTTCCATTTCAAAATCATTTAGTTGACTTGGTTAGGACATTTCATTGGCAGTGTCATTGTTCCACATGATAATGACACATACACAGACAAACGCACACACACACTTGCTGTGAATTAGTTGCCAATTCAGTTTGGGACAAAATTTATTGGCCTAATTATGTGTGTTAATTGAATTATGTTGTTTTAATGAGTCTTTAATTTGTGGTCAGTTACTGTCATTTGTAATGGAGCGGCGTTTTTCATTGTCTGATAAAAGCGAGAAAATTACAGTTTTTCGACGAATTTGCGAACTAATTAAATATGTTAAATAAGTTATGTTGATGGCTTCGTTTACCACAAAAGTGTTAATTATTTAATGATGACATTTAAAATTCATACAATCAATTTTTTGTTCGAATATTTTCTATAAATAATAGAAAAAATGACAGATAACTTACCTACATGTCAGCCGAACTGCACTTCCCTCGGGTACAATGACATCAGATGATGTATCTTCTGTAACAAAATCGGGTGGTATAACGACATCTAGGTAGCCAATCTGTAAGATTAAAATATACAATTTTCATAACATGAATCGTAAGGAATTTTAGTATAAATATTAACCCAACCATGTAGTTGCTAAATTGGAAACTTTGGTTTTGTGTGATAATATCTTGCGAGACTGTCATAAGTTTGTGCGTCCCAAAAAGCTTGTAGCATTATCAAATATTATCCCTATGTGTGTCCGTATATTACAATTAAGGACCACAGAAATCTATACTTATTGGTAATAATCTATACTAATAAAAGAGTAACGTGATTGACTGGCTGATTTAACGATTCATCAACGCCCAGACGAAATGGCTGAAGCTAGAATCTTGAAATTTTGGGTGAGGGTCACTCTTGATTCAAAGGTGACAGATAAGGCTGGGTTTTTGGAAATACGTACTAGAACTGTACGAAAAGTACTAAATGTGATACCATTTGTACTTGGAGAACCGTTGGAGCTGTAGAATAGATATAGCAAAGAGTTTTTTGTACATTCGAACTATAAGTATGCGAAAAGTACTAAAATGTACTAAATTTGGTATTCATTCGTAACATGTGAATGAATGGAGCTAAAAACTTGAAATTTGGAATGCGAATTAGGGTTGAGATGGAGTGTCTATTTGTGGAGATGGTTTTGAAAGTGTGTATTCATGTGTTCGAAAAGTACTACATAGTACTATATTTGGTACAAATTTAATTCGGAGGTACAAGTCGAGCTGGAATCCTTACCGTCGAATTGGGATATGTACGTAGTTTTGGAAATTTTTTTATTTATGTGTACGATAAGTACTAAATCTTACTATAATTGGTACAATTTGGATTTGGGTGAACCGATAGAGCGGGAACAATGAAATTTAGAGTCACGATCATTATAGAGGATTAGGGTCACGATTCAGTTTAAGAAATTAATAGCTATGGGTACTAAATTTGGTACAATTTGAATTTTAGGTGAACCAATAGAGCTAGAATCATGAAATTTGGAGTCAGGCTAACTGTTGTGGAGTAAAATTGAGATATGTAGGATGTTTTAGAAATTTGTACTAATGAGTACAAAATTTGGCACAATTTAAATTTTGGGTGAAACGATAGAGTTGGAATCATGAAACTTGGATTTAGGATCACTGTGGAGGTGTTGGTTTGAGTAAAGTAGGATGTTTAGGAAATTCATACTACTATGTACTAAATTTGGTACAATTTGAATTGTGATTGTCAACCGATATAATTGGAATCTTGAAACTTGGATTTAGGATCCACGTTGGGGTGTAGGTTTAGGGTAAGAAGGAGGTTTCGAAAATCGTACTACTGTGTACTAAATTTGGTACAATTTGAATTGTGGGTGAATCGATAGAGTTGGAATCCTGAAACTTGGATATAAGATCACTGTGGGGGTGTAGGTTTGGGGTAAGAAGGAGGTTTTGGAAATTTGTACTACTGTGTACTAATTTTGGTACAATTTAAATTGTGGGTGAACCTATACCGTTGCAATCCAGAAATTTGAATTTGGAATTTTTGTGGGGGTTTAAGACCAGGAAGTTGAGTTGGATGTTTGAGGTGGGTACTTATGGAAATAATGTGTGCTAAATGGAACTAAATTTGGTACAATTTGGATTTGGGTGAACATGAAATTTGGTATTGAATGGTACTCAAATGTAATTTACTATCGATATGCAGTTTTCTATAAAAATAAAATAATGTGTTTATACATATTTAAATATATCCCACATTCACTAACGAAGTAGCGCGCATATGCTAGTCATTTAATATTTATGACAAATTTCCAAAAAGAGTTATTTTGTGAATTTTGTGGTCGCTCTAGTGACCACAATTTTAGGTTTAAGTCTGGTCGTTGATAATTTTGAAATACATCGATTTAAAAAATTAAAAGCTCCAAATTTTCTTAGAGACCTTTAAAACGAATGGGAAATACAGGGTCTAAACGTTATAACAGCTACCGGATCTTGACATTTTCCAATTATGACCCAAATATCAGGACATTTTATGCAAAAACGCTGGACAATACAGCCGGCCTGACAACCCTAGCTACTATATATTTCTGGTGTAGACAGTCTGGAGTCATTTGATATTACCATTAGAGACATTCATATTTTTAGCATACGTGTTCTCAGTGCGGTTTGACGTACCACCATGTGTTGTGTTGGTCACAGTGACTTGAAAAAACAGTAAGGAAAGTAGTAAAGTCGGACGGGGCCGACTATCACCTATATATACCTTCACCACTTTGAGTATATTCAACAGATGAATCCTAACAGACGTGGCATTTTTAAAGGACCAGTAAAATGAAATTGGAACCATAAACACGTCATTCTGCATCCGATACTAAATTGTTCATTTGGTCAGATATAGAAGCTATATCTAAATCTGAACCGATTTCAGGAAACTTAACACACATCTAGACCAAATTCATTACGCTGTGCCAAATTTAGTGCAAACCGAAACATATTAAGGGACTTTGGTGCACCATTTACATTAAATCGGACGAAAATATATATGGGAGCTATATCTACATCCGAACCGATTTTCAGGAAACTTAACACACATCATTCTAGACCTAATTCATTACGCTGAGCCAAATTTAGTGCAAATCGAGAGATAGATAGGGACTTTTGTGCACAATTTACCTTAAATCGGACGAAAATATATATGAGATCTATGTCTAAATCTGAACCGATTTTAAGGAAACTTAACACACATCATTCTAGAGATTACATTACACATTACGCTGTGCCAAATTTCGTGTAAATCGAAAGATATATAGGGACTGTTGAAAAGGCAAGTAGGCCGAGCTGGTGGTTTCCACTGGGATTTTGAATAAAATACAACTTGTTCCATAAAAGTTGGTTTATTTCACAAAATGTATTTCTATTAAAATTCCTAAATTACAAAAAAATTAGGAATTAAAAAAACTATAAAATAGTAAATATAAAACAAGCCATACTTTTTGGTATGAAACCACAAAAACTTTTAAAATAGTTCAAAAAATCAGTTCCTGAGCACAGCGTATTATCCAACTTATTGGTATTTATTCAGGACAGAAAATGGCGGTACTCAGGGACGCTACTTGACATTTTTTCTAAGTTTCGTTAAATATTTACAATAAATTGACATTCCGAAAAATTATTATTTCATAAGCAACAGTGTTGCAAGATCGTTTACAAATCAATGAGATTTTGGGAGTGCCGCTAACATTCCCCCCGCAGTATGGCAAGGAACCTTTCCGCTGCCAGACTCTCGTTGAGGGGCTACGTCCAAAATTGCCAATTTAGTTACAGGCCGATCCATGATACCTCGTTGTGTGAGCACTTTTGCACTACGGACCTGTCCATCACTTGCCAATCTCGTTTGAAGTACTTTACCACGCAGCCAAACATTTCGAGGTAGAGAAGGATCAACAATAATCACTAAGTCCCCCTGACATAATGGTTTAGATTTTTCGTACCATTTCGACCTACAAGTTAACGAAGGCAAAAATTCAGCTAACCACTTTTTCCAAAATATGTTTGCATATTGTTGTGAAAGCAGCCAATTTTGCTTTAATAATATGCCACTGTCGCTGCAAACTGATATCGGTTTTAACCCACTTGAACTTCCCACTAGGAAGTGATTTGGAGTTAAAGCCTCTGACGTTTCGTCGTCCACAGGAACATAAGCAAGAGGCCTAGAATTTACGATATTTTCAACTTCTATTAAGGTACTTAATAGGAGCTCATCACTAGGACACCTTGCTGGCATAATTTTATATAAAATAGTTTTAATTGATCGTACAAGCCGCTCCCACGCACCTCCCATGTGAGGTGAGGCAGGAGGATTAAAATTCCATTTTGTCGTAGTACTAGTGAAAGTTTTTACTAACTCATCTTTATCTACCTCAGTTACCGCCTCACGTAACTCTCTCTCTGCGCCAACAAAATTTGTGCCATTGTCACTATAGAATTCAAGTGGAATTCCTCTTCGTGCCATAAAATTTCGAATGGCTAGAATACATGAACTTGTTGTCAGCGAATATGCAACCTCGATGTGAATTGCTCGTATAGTCAAACATGTAAACAGACATCCATATCTTTTTTCCTTGTGACGATTGACGGTGACCAATATGGGACCAAAGAAATCTATTCCGGTAAAAGAAAATGGTGCACCGAATGAAGCCAGTCGTGCTCTAGGCAATTTTGCCATTTGTGGACTTTGTGGAATAGCTTTGTGGATTTTACACATTTGACAGGATCGTGTTATTGTTTTAAATGTCGTACGTAGTCTGGAAATCGAGAATTTTTGTCTGATTTCATTGATGGCTGTCTCATGATTCATATGGTGAAATTTCTCATGATAGTGTAACAATATCAGTTTTGTTATATGACATTCTCTAGGTAAGATAATAGGGCGTTTTTGTTCCCAAGGCACATCTGCTTCATCAATTCTTCCATACACACGTAAAACGCCATCTTCCAGATACGGTGATTTGCAATAAATATCGCTGGATTTGTGTATAGAGGCTTTCGACATAAGTTGTGATATTTCTGCGGAATATGTTTCACTTTGAGCCTGCCTATATAAAATTGTTTCTGCTCGTTTTAGCTCCTCTTGAGTTAATTCATGAGTTTGTTTCTTAATTCTGCGACAATTGTTAATAAATCGTAGTACATATGCAGCCGTCCTTAAAAGGCGGACCCATTTCGAAAATCTGAGTACATCAAAGGTTGTATATAATGTTGTAATTTTAAAAGAATGATGTACTCGTTCTTCTTCCGTTGGCTCAGGATGAGCACTTGTTTTAGGCCACTCCTCTTCAGGCAAATGTAAAAAATCTGGACCGTTAAACCATCTACTATCTATAGAAATTACAGGTATCTTCGACCATTTTGTAGCATCGTCAGCTACGTTTTGCTTGCTTGGGACCCACTTCCATTCATTGAGCGAAGACAACTCTAAAATCTCTGTGACTCGAAAAGCCACAAACTGATTATATTTTCTGGCATCAGAATTGATCCAGCTTAGCACTGTTTTTGAATCAGACCAATAATATTTTTTAGATATTTTAATATCATGATTTTCCATTACAAATTTGGCAAAACGAGAACCTATAAGGGCGGCCATAAGTTCAAGACGTGGCACAGATGTAATCTTAATAGGTGCTACCCTGGTTTTCGACCCCACAATGGAGCAAACGATTGTATCATTCTTTTTCAATCTGAAATAGCAGACAGCTGCATAACTATCTTTGCTTGCGTCGACAAAGGTATGCAGTTACACCTCTGTATCTGTATGGGTATCAAAAGATCTTAAATAACAACGGGGAATTTTAATATTTTGTATTTCGGGTAAAATATTGACCCATTGGATCCACTTTCGGTTCAATTCAAGGGGAATCGATTCGTCCCACTCTATTTTGGCCCTCCAAACTTCTTGCATAAGAACCTTTACATACATTATAATGTGTCCGATGAGACCGAGCGGGTCGTAAATAGACATAACTAATCTTAGCATTTGCCTTTTAGTGGGAGATTTTTTATTCGAAAATATATCGCTTTCCATAAGCCAGTTAGAAATTTTGAATGTTATTACATCCTCCAGATATTCCCAAAATACTCCCAAAACCTTCTCAATCTGTTGGTTTTCTTTGAAATTTAGGCATTTAACGTTCTGTGCTTCGATTGTAGGAAGAGAATCCATTACAAATTGGTTGTTACAGATCCAATTACGAATATTAAAACCGGCTTGGCGGTGAATATATGACACTTCGGTAATTAATTAATAGCCTCCTGAGCAGTATCCACGGAATCCAGAAGATCGTCTACATAATGATTTTCTATTATTGATTTGGATGCAGTAGGAAATTGTCTTTTAAATTGAGCTGCATTATGATTTTTCACATACTGTGAAATGCTTGGAGCACATGTGGCACCGAATATCATTACATCCATTACGTATATTTCGGGAATTTTCTCCTGCATACACTCTCGCCACAAAAATCTTTGTACGTCGCGATCTTCACGCCGTATATAAATTTGGTGGAACATCTCCTCAATGTCTCCACATATAGCCACAGATTTTTGCCGAAATTTAAAAAGAATTGATGGTAATGAAGCTAGAAAGTCAGGTCCTTTTAAAAGAAATGAATTTAAAGATGATCCATTTGATTTTGCTGCTGCATCCCAAACTACACGCGATTTACCGGGTTTGTTTCTATTAAAGACAGCGAAAATTGGTAGATACCAAACTCTTCCATCGGCTCGATCAATTTCATTATCTTTCAATTTTCGTATGTAGCCTTTAGATATGTATTTTGACAATGTTTCTTTAAATGTGTTGAAAAGCTCGTCATTTCGCTTTAGTTTTCGCTCCAAGCAAACAAGACGTTTGAAGGCCATATCATAACTGTCAGGCAATTTTACTAAATCGAATTTCCATAATAATGGAACTATATAGTTACCATTGGCATTTCGTTTTGTAAAGTTATCTAATAAATGCAACGCGCGTTGTTCGCTTTCAGCAATAAGAGGGTCTTTTATGCTAATCCCCACGCTATCAAGGGCATAATAGCTTCTGACCAACTTGTCTAAATCATTATCACTCGCAGAACACTCACATATATGATAATTAAAGTGCTTACCTGAGTTTTTGTGCTCTGCGACTGTGCCGTATATTAGCCATCCAAGTTGTGTTCTTACAGCAACGGGCTCATACGGGGATCCCTCACGGACTTTATTATGAATTCCTAGGTCGAAATGATTCAATCCAATTAACAACATTGGCACAGCATTACTATAACTTTTCACAGGAAGATTTTGCAAGTGGCGATAATTTTGCGCCATAACTTTATAATCCAGCGATTGGGATGGTAAATTTAGCGAATTTACAGTAAAAACACTCATGTTGAAGCGCTTTCCATTTCCACCTGAAATACCTATTTTTACTTTTTGTGAACTATTTTCCGTTCTTTCCATACCTCCAGTCCACCGAAGGCAGAGGGGGTTGGAAATGCCCTCCACATCCAATTGGTTCACTAACGACTCGTCCATCAAACTGATTGAAGATCCGTCATCTATGAAAGCATATGTGTTTATGCTTTTATCTTTTCCATATATTTTTACAGGAATTATTTTGAACAAAATATTTTTTGTTCTTTCTCACCACATTCCATTTCTCGCCACGATCGGGTGAGAGGAATGTTTGACAGCTAGCTACTGCTTTGCAGTTGTTGTTGCATACAACACATTTACGTTCATCGCTATGAGTATAAACGTAATCTTTTTTGAATGCTTTTTTGTTATTTGTTGATATTTTGTCTTTATGGTTGGTTGTTGTTTTCGAACAGTGAGGTTCAACTGCTATACTACTGGCAGTGATGCCAATGCTGAAATCCATTTGTCAAATTCAGACAAATTTGGATTTTTGTTTTGGTTCATCAACTGCATTTTGTAATTTGCCCATAGCATTTGATACGAAGGGGGGAGCTTTTGTATCAAATCAAAGAGAAGAGATGAATTATTTATTTCATCATACAAATTGCTGGCGGTGATGGTGGAAATTAGGCTTCGGACTTTTATCGCAAATGTGGTAAGTGTTTTAGATTGTTTTCATCAACTACTGGCGACGATTTTATTTTATATTTTATTGAATTTATAATTTTTTCAGGTTGGCCGTACAGCAATCGAAGTACCTCAACTACTCCTGGTACATTAGCAGGATGAATCAACATATGTTGCACGCTTTGGAGAGCTTCTCCCTTAAGAGATTTTTGAAGACGGATTAAGTTCTCCGCATTAGTGAAGTTGCAGGCGGCAGTTGACCATTCCAAAGTGGAAATAAAAGTGGGCCATTCTTCCGGATTGCCAGAGAATGGTGGCAATTCCTTCGGCATGGATTGCCTAGCATTTATGTGCGACTGTAGTAGCCTGATGTGAGGTTCCAGACTTAAAGGTGGACAAAATGATGTCGCTGTATTGGCATTAGGAGAAATATTCATAGTCGAAGACATCGGTGCATTCTGTAAGAACGTATGTGGAGCTGAATTATTAATGCATGACTGCTGACGTGGCTGATGAGAAGCGAAATTCGTATTGCGATTCAATGGAGCTGGATACTCATTAGGTGAAATATTCATGGTGGTAGAAATTGGAGCAGTTTGTAAAAAGGTGTGGGGAACAGAATTATTAATAATTGTTGGCTGATAAGGAGGAAAATTTGCATTGCGAATTAGTGGAGGTCGAGGTAAATGTGGATTTACGGTTACATGAGGAAGATGATCAATGACACCTGACTGCACTTCTGGGTGGCAGACGCTTGTAGTGGCCGTGTACATTGGACGATTCGGTATTGGCAAGGTACTCGCAGAAGCAGTGGAGACAATGGGAACAAATGAAGTATTTGCAGTTTGGTGATTATGATTTATTTGCATGTTTGTTTTTGGTATATTTTGCGTATTGGCGTGACCTGACATGTCACAATAAACAATCTCGTGGGGCAAGCTTGTAGCTTGCTGATTTGTGTTGGTACATTGATTATTAGCGGCAGATAGATGCCTATCTTCAGGGAGAATTTCTGATGTTTCATCTTGATTTGGAACTTTATTTAGCCAATTTTGTACTGTTTGGGATTTGTTAGACGAATTATCACTTATATCTTCGACTTCCTCAAGAAGTTGGTATTTTTTATTTAGATATTCTGTATAAAATATTCGCTCTTCTTCAAGTCTTTTAAGTTGTAATTGAACTTTACGCGAATGTGACTTGTTAGAATGAACAGAACTCCGAGTGGTAGCAGTTGATGCTGGTGAGTTAGGTCGTATGGCGGAGCACTGCGGACATTTTTGGGTTATGTCCGAAGTGGAATTTTTGCAGTTGAATTTTTTGCTGCATTCTATGCAATATTTCTCATTTTCGTCAGGGGATTTTTGACTTAGTGAAATATTGTGATCATTGTGTTGCTGACCTTCTGAATTTGATAACTCCATTTTCTACTTACTGCGAGATTGGAAAGTTATTGTAGACTCTGCAGTTGGCCCAGGATGAGACTACAAAAAGAATTTTAAAATGTTGAAAAGGCAAGTAGGCCGAGCTGGTGGTTTCCACTGGGATTTTGAATAAAATACAACTTGTTCCATAAAAGTTGATTTATTTAACAAAATGTATTTCTATTAAAATTCCTAAATTACAAAAAAAATAGGAATTATTTATGTGCATTCGTCACAAAGTGACGACACATAGCAGTGGGAAATGTATTGTAGTTGTCTGTAAATGCCTTGTTGACCACGAAGTCAGGCGCCAACGAAACGAACTTCTCATTGGGGTCGTATCGCTGGTAACGTAAGAACTTCGAATTGTCACAAGAGACATTTGGGTTTGAAAGGTTTTTTGTAAACAAAAAACTAAGGGAACTGATGAGGATCAGTGGCGAGATCCGACACTATAGTCTTCCCTGCCTTACCCCTCGGCGGACAATGCCATACATTCCCCACTAATAAATAGTTGTTTTTTATTAAAACAACAAACTGGGATTAAGCCTGACTATTTTGCAAAAACCAAATACAAATGGTATCCCAAATAACCCGCCAAACACTACTGAAGTTGTAGACGAGGCACGGTCATACTGTTTGGTTTATTGCTTTAACTAGCAATGCCAGCAACAACGTTATGTGCATTCGTCACAAAGTGACGACACATAGCAGGGGGAAATGTATTGTAGTTGTCTGTAAATGCCTTGTTGACCACGAAGTCAGGCGCCAACGAAACGAACTTCTCATTGGGGTCGTATCGCTGGTAACGTAAGAACTTCGAATTGTCACAAGAGACATTTGGGTTTGAAAGGTTTTTTGTAAAGAAGCTATTAATAGCTTCTGGGGAGAATATCCCAACAAAAAACTAAGGGAACTGATGAGGATCAGTGGCGAGATCCGAAATTATAGTCTTCCCTGCCTTACCCCTCGGCGGACAATGCCATACATTCCCCACTAATAAATAGTTGTTTTTTATAAAAACAACAAACTGGGATTAAGCCTGACTATTTTGCAAAAACAAAATACAAATGGTATCCCAAATAACCCGCCAAACACTACTGAAGTTGTAGACGAGGCACGGTCATACTGTTTGGTTTATTGCTTTAACTAGCAATGCCAGCAACAACGTTATGTGCATTCGTCACAAAGTGACGACACATAGCAGTGGGAAATGTATTGTAGTTGTCTGTAAATGCCTTGTTGACCACGAAGTCAGGCGCCAACGAAAAGAACTTCTCATTGGGATTGTATCGCTGGTAACGTAAGAACTTCGAATTGTCACAAGAGACATTTGGGTTTGAAAGGTTTTTTTGTAAAGAAGCTATTAATAGCTTCTGGGGAGAATATCCCAACAAAAAACTAAGGGAACTGATGAGGATCAGTGGCGAGATCCGACACTATAGTCTTCCCTGCCTTACCCCTCGGCGGACAATGCCATACATTCCCCACTAATAAATAGTTGTTTTTTATAAAAACAACAAACTGGGATTAAGCCTGACTATTTTGCAAAAACAAAATACAAATGGTATCCCAAATAACCCGCCAAACACTATTAAAAAAAAACTATAAAATAGTAAATATAAAACAAGCCATACTTTTTGGTATGAAAACCTCAAAAACTTTTAAAATAGTTCAAAAAATCAGTTCCTGAGCACAGCGTATTATCCAACTTATTGGTATTTATTCAGGACAGAAAATGGCGGTACTCAGGGACGCTACTTGACATTTTTTCTAAGTTTCGTTAAATATTTACAATAAATTGACATTCCGAAAAATTATTATTTCATAAGCAACAGAGTTGCAAGATCGTTTACAAATCAATGAGATTTTGGGAGTGCCGCTAACACTAAGTTTGGAAGAAATAATAAGATGGCCAAAGTTTGGATGAAATCAAAATTTTCTGGAACAAATTTGGCCCAAAGAAACATTTTAACCGTGTCAAAGTGTATACACCCTCATTATCCATAAATTTTTAATGGACAATTATACACTCAATTGTCCATTAACAATTTCTGAAATTTGTTTTATAGTTTACATAGTGGTTTACATAACCGATTTGTGGAAATGTCGATATAGGTCCACTTTTTGGTATTTTCCCTATATTTTCATTTCAAGTAACTGTCTGTATATCTATGGTGGAGGGTATCCAAAGTTCGGACCGGCCGAACTTAACGCCTTTTCACTTGTTTATATTAAATTAGTTATGCAATTTGTTCCGTGTTTTGGATTTGGTTCTACGACTCTGTTGTAATCATATCACCTAGCCCCTGTGTTGGAGGTACCAGAAGGAGTGGACCGATATTTCCCATCTTCGAACTTGAACTAAGTTTGGAAGAAATAATAAGATGGCCAAAGTTTGGATGAAATCAAAATTTTCTGGAACAAATTTGGCCCAAAGAAACATTTTAACCGTGTCAAAGTGTATACACCCTCATTATCCATACATTTTTAATGGACAATAATACACTCAATTGTCCATTAACAATTTCTGAAATTTGTTATATAGTTTACATTGTGGTTTACATAACCGGTTTGTGGAAATGTCGATATAGGTCCCCTTTTTGATATTTTCCCTATATTTTCATTTCAAGTACCTGTCTGTACATCTATGGTGGAGGGTATCTAAAGTTCGGCCCGGCCGAACTTAACGCTTTTTCACTTGTTTATACCCTCCACCATAGTATGGAGGGTATATTAATTTTGTTTTTCCGTTTGTCACTCATCGAAATAATCATTTCCGACCCTATAAAGTATATCTATTCTTGATCAGCGTAAAATTCTATGACGATATAGCCATGTCCGTCTGTCTGTCCGCCTGTCTGTTGTAATCACTCTAGCGTCTAAACGAATTAAGATAGATCGCCAAAATTTTACATA